AAAAAAAAAAAACCGTACCTATACATATACATTAAGTATACTACAATATAAATACTTTTTAAGCCTTTAATGTGCGAGGCATAAAAATGAAAAGCATGATAAAGAAGTTTCGAACGACTTCAAGTTTAAAGTTATTGGTTTTTATCGGATACATGTCACAACTTCTAACATAATAACCAACCAAGTCTATTTGCTATGAAGTCTATGGAAACTTCTATGTCAAGTTTATCGTCAGTACAGAAGCCCTCTACCATTTATCCCCCATACATATACACAACGCATTGTCTAAACAGTGTATAACTATACACATTCAAAGAGTGGACTTTTCGATTGGATTAACTTTCAATTTTCAAAGACCACCTGTCATTGATGGAAAACGGTAATGGTGTAACAGATCGATGACTAATCCGACTGAAAAATTGTCCAACAACAACAATGAGTTGTCTCACCAAACGATGATATAATTGGACTCGATTAGCAGAGGTATAGAGTTAGATCCTCTCTTGTAAAACAGAGATAGAATGATAAAGAAAAGAAAGGGGTGGAGGGGAAATAAAGAACCTCTAGCAGTGTGACAATTGAGCTTCATCGTGCGAATATAGAGTTACAAGAGCTGCCCGTGGGACGGGATGGAAAATGAGCGGCGAATATTAAGTTGACGAACAAAATGGCCGTCGTAACGCGGAAAAAAAGAAATGCAGGAATGCTTTCTGTCTCTCTCTCTCTATATATATATATATATTTATCTATCTCTTTCTTTATCTCTTTCTCTATCTATCCTTCGCATTTCACTCGTCGCTTTTATTCTATACATCCCACAGCAGCCGGTTCTACTCACTAGGACGTGACGCGGGTCGAAAACTCTTTACTTTGCACATGCGCAATATTCCTGGATCGAAAAGCTCCGCCCGGGACTGCCTTTGTTTAAACCACGATACCTACGCCCACGACATGTGGCCGACAAACTGCAGATATGTCTCTCTCTCTCTTTCTCTCTTTCTCTCTTTCTCTCTTTCTCTCTTTCTCTCTTTCTCTCTTTCTTCTATCTCATCTCTAATCTTCATATATATGAAGTTCTATATACATACATGTCTCTACACGTGCGTTATCGATGAAAGTAGAAATAAATCTATGCAGATGTCAACGTTAGAAACTCTCCTATCATTTTATGTATGATTTATGTCTAATTATTGTTTTCTCTTCTTAGAATGAATGAACGGAAACTGTTTGATAATTGCACCTATCAATGGCGGGCATTGGACATTGAACGTTTATCTGAAAATATAAAAAAATAGATGTTAATATTTGTTTCACTGTTAAACAAAATTTTATTATTCATATTTACTCTAAAATATTTGTATAAGTATAATCAGAAATATTTTGATATTATAAAAATAATGAATATGTAATTACTAGTTTATTTTAATATTTGATGGTTAAAACAAAGGAAATGCAAGCTAGTGAAAAGAAAAATACTAGTTACCAACATTCAAAAAAGGTTTTTCTTTTTTTGGTGATTAAAACAAAAGAAAATCAAGCTAGTTACAAAAAAAATACTAGTCACCAAAATTCGGAAAAGGTAGCGTGGCCGAGCGGTCTAAGGCGCTGGTTTAAGGCACCAGTCTCTTCGGAGGCGTGGGTTCGAATCCCACCGCTGCCAATTTTTTTGCTATTATTTTGCATAATTTATCTGTAAAAAATATTAATTTTTAAAACGTTATATTTTTTTTTACCCTCGATGATTAAAAAAAAAAAAAACCCCAGATAGCAATCATCCAGTTTTAAAAAAATTCCGACATTGACGCTGTCATACTTTTACCTACATAAGATAACAATGATCTCTTAAACGTCGGTAATGTAGAATACTTTCAATCATCACATCGAATATAATCCATTTGAAAATCCAACTTTTACTAAAGTAAAGATTTATATTATTTATAAATAGTAACTATTATATAAGACAATGAAATATTAACGTACAATTTCAATGAAAATTTACCTATTATTATTTATGAGTTGTATGGGATTCCCCCCCTCTCTCTCTCTCTCTCTCTGTTTGAAGAAACATAATAATAAATTTGAAATGATTTCGTTTGCTTCGTTAATTCATTCCCTTGTAATCGTTTTAACTGATCGTTAAACTGCTCGTTGATACGGATCGGGAATGAATACCAGTATGAAATGAAAAAGAAAATCCGACTAAGAAAATGTAATAATAGTAACATAGAGAGAGAGAGAGAGAGAGAGAGAGAGAAAGTTGATATAGCCCGAAGCATCGGATGTGGCAAACAAGCGAGCCGAGAAAATAAACGAGGATCCTTCCGAATGAAACCAACAAAATGAGATTTTAATCGAATCGTTTGATGTATAAAACCTGCTTGTGTGCTCGCATATTCTACTCTACCCTTGCTTTTCTCTCTAAACCCCCGAGGGTTTGTTTTTACTTTTTTACTTTGTTTGTTTTTTTCTTTTTTTCAAATAAAGAGATGTAACGTTGATACATGAAATATATGATGTTTAAAGCCATGGAAAGATTGTCTCTTTTGAGTTACAAATATTCGTTTCACAAAAAGCCCCTGCATTACGAGCAACCAGTTTTACTCTATTGTATATGTGATTATGGTAACATTCATTGTACACCAATAATAAAAAATTGCAAATTTACAAGGGACTTTCTGAAAGAAAAATAAACAGAAAATTAAATATGAAGAAATATTGAAACAAATCTGAATTATCATTTTGAAAAGATGAAATTAATATTAGAAGATAAAATATAAAATAATAATTGATTACGAAAATCGACAAAAATAAAATTACATACTCTGATAATAAATCATAGGTTTCTACTAAAAAAAAAAAAAAAATATATTAATCATTTAATACTAACAAGGAGATATTACAATTATGAGAAAAAACGATATTTAACTATCAATCAGATATCATCTACGTGAAGATAAAAATCGTGACAAAGATATTTCCTGAATGAAAATAGAATTTTAAGAAAGTATAATGATTCATGCACGTAAAACGTAAAATCACACTATCTTACGTCAGAAATTTGTGAAGATAAAGAGCAAGAAAGAAAGAAAAAAAGAAAGGAAGAAAAAGAGAGGGAAGAACATGCTTCATATGGTTCATCGAAGGTCGAAACATTTAATCGTTGTAAATCGTTGAAAGATGATACTTTTGAACTAATCTTTGATGTTTAAAATTATCCTACGTTATTTAATTACGTAAATTAAATTTAATTAACAAAAAGAAACCAAAAAGAAGAGACAAATTTTGATTCATATTTTTTTTTTTCTTTCCTTTTCTTTTTTTCTTTCTTTCTTGCAATTCATCATATTCCTTTTTTTTTTTTTTTTTTGAAAGAATATAAAAATAATTAAGAAACGAATGAGAGAAATGTTTTTTCGTCATTTGATAAATTAGCATTAACAGTGTGAATTATTGTTGATAAGAATAATGTACCTAAGTGTTAAAGATGGCCTTCGTGCTCTTCCATGATTGTGAATCGGTCAGTGATATTCAATCGACTTTATTCGAAGTATTATAACGTAGAAGAAAACTTAATGTCGTTAACCTCTTAGTGTGCATTTAATTAATAATAATTTATCTTATTTTATCATAAATTTTGCCATGATTTTTTAAATTATTCATATTGGGAATTTAAATTGTAAGTTTCCAGTGAAATGTGCAAAACATCTTGAAAAATATCTATAAATATAAAAAAAATATATATATATATTTTTAAAACACATAGATAAAAAAAAATAATATAATATATGTATATAACAATATAGATAATATACACAATAATAATAATAATAATATAAATTTATATATTACAAATATTGCAATAACAGTTTTTATCTAAATAACAAATATATAATACTTTTAAAACATAATATAAATAAGTGTAAAAATAATTTTAAAAAAATAACCTCAAAAGGAAGGAATTTGGAGTAGGATTCTTCTTCATTATTTTTGCCTAAACCGCCACAGAATGATCACAGACAGGATTGTACACATATCAACGTGGGAAATCATCAAATTACACTTTTTATCCTTCGTCTATGGTCTCTATCTGATAGTAAAAAGATTCTTGAAATGGGCTTGGGATCCTAAAAAGTTCTTCATATTAGAACAGAGAGACAAACCACCACCATGTCTTGTCAACAACAATCTTGGCACACATTCCTACGTGAAGATCAAAGTAAGAATCTAATTATTATTATTATTATTATTACTAATTAATTAATCTAACGAAATTAAAAAAATGGATAAATGGAATAACACAAATATTGAAAACAAACGAATAAAACACACATAACTCGCTGTTAAATTTTATTTGCTTTACTTGACCTTCGCGATAAGAAACTTAGAACGAGTTTAACTTTTTCAGAAATAAATAATATTCGTAGTTGTTTTTTTTTTTTCTGAAGAAATCTTGTTTGATCAATTCGATAATCGAAAGAATGTGAATTTTATTTGTCGTCTAAAGACATGTGCAAATAACTTCATATTGAACTTTGATTCGATAATATTTCGATCGATTTATGAAGTCAAATAAAACTAAATAATAATGTAGTTTAATTACATCTTATCTCATTAATAAAAGACTAAAATTACGTAGTTGTTTATAATATTACTATAACAAGAAAATAATGAGCTATCTTTTAGGATTTTTCTTTTCTTTTTTTTTAAGGTTATATCGATCGAGAAAATCGATCATATGACTCTATTGGTACTATTAAAAACGCGCGTAATTTGAAAAGATTACTTATACTCAGACATATTTATCAAAATATTATTGGAGAAAAATGAAAGTAATCAAGTTTACAATTATGTTTTCTTTTCCTCAGGGTGTAAAATTCCATTATGTAGAAGCAGGAGACGTAGAAAAACCACTTCTTTTATTATTACATGGCTTTCCTGATTGCTGGTTATCTTGGAGAGAACAAATACCAGCTTTAGCAGAATATTATAGGTATATGATAATTGAACTGTTCATAGGCCAAAGCGATTAATTTTAATCATTTTTCAATCAATTTAGCAAATGAGTGGTTTAATTAATACAATTATCAATTGTCTTATTAAAATTATTAATATTATTCTTATAATTTCTAGAGTAGTGGCTATTGATCTGAAAGGGTTTGGTGATAGCGACAAACCATCTAACAAACGTTGCTATAAGATTGAAATTATAATAGACGAATTGAAACAATTTATATCAACTTTTGATGTTAAAACGTGTAGTATAATTGGCCATGATTTGGGCGGTCTTTTAGGATGGTATATGATTGCTTTACATGGAGATATGATAAATAAATTTATTGCTATTTCTAGTCCACATCCTAATTTGTATTGGGAAAAAATATCGAAAAATACCGTATTTGATAAAAAGTAAGTATATGTTAATTACGTTATACATTCTCGATTTTAATCGTTTAATAAATTTGTGTTGTTTGCACATTTACAGATGGGTACATTTTAGTAGATTACCAATTTTACCAGAGATAGATGCAATGAAAGAAGATTTATCAATTATTAATGATACATTCCAACATCTCAAAGTCAAAAATACAAGTCCCAAAAATAATTATGTAGAAGCATATAAATATAGCTTTAGCAGAAAAGGTTTATTGATTTTTAATATTTACTGTAATTATATCCTATTGAACAATTTAAAAAACAATAATTAATATATTTTTCTTTTTACAACAGAAGATTGGACTGGAGCAATAAATTATTATCGTAATCTTCCTTTTACAAGATTAAATATGGATGTAAGCGAACAACTTTTTACTCATACATTATTGATAGTTGGTAATGAAGACCCATCTGTAATGATTGAAAGTATAGTCCAGAGTTCAGAATATGTGGAGAAGTTTAGTGTAAAAGTAATCACTGAAGCACATCATTTCCCTCATCAAGAAAAACCAGATGATGTAAACAAAGCAATTATTAAATTTTTGATAGGTATGATTTTTACTTAATGATTGATACTTCAATATTTATGAATAAGTAAATAATTAAATGACAATTTATGAATTATTAAATATTTATAGGTACTTCAAATAATTTAGAAAAAATTCCTGCCAAAAGTATGATGTCATCTTGGCTAGGTTCATTAAGTAGTACTGTAAAATATGGAAATCAAATGTTTGATGCTGTACACAAAAAAACAAACGGGGTAATTAACGTTTTACCCAATAAAATACTTTACTTAGGTAACACTACACATTAAATAAATAATATTTTTTTATATATTAAATACAAATTATGTTAAACAATGTTACATGTTTTAATATTCATGTATCATACTTTAAAAAAAAAAAGGCTGACTTAATCATATTTATTATTTTTGTATATGGAATGTACGTAGATTCAATTTCATAAATTGAGTTTTATAATATGATTATTAAAAAATCTTGTAAAAATATTATTAATTTGTTGATTTGTATATAAAATTATGTAAAGATCTGTTTACTTAAATCAAAATATATCATTTATCAAAAAATATTGTAAATTATATATAGACAAAAATAATATAATTTATAAACTACATTGTATATGATAATTTAAAATAAAACAATGATATACATCTCTTTAACAAGATTAAAACGTTTAGGTGTTGAATGAAGAACATAACTACTTTTAAATGCATAGAAATCCAATTTTTAAATGTATCTGTATTATCTCAGATCTTTCTAATAAAATTGTAAATCACTTTATGGAATAAGAAATATCAACAAATACGTTTTCAATATAATTAAAATATTAATATTTTAATATAAATCAATTGAATACTTTTCAAACTAAATCACTCTATTCGTTTAAAATACTCATTGTGAATGTATTTAACTGCACTATTAAATCAATCTTCAAATATTGCTATAGTTCTGAAGATGCATTTAACGCAGAAGCTCGTCTATAATAAAAATATTTCAAGATATATGATAGTAAAATAATAAAATCATATATATACATATTAATAATTAATATACGAAAAAAATAAATTATACGTGTATATATGTATATATATGTTATTATTATTATTATACAAAGTAAATATATGTAATATAAAATTATTATATAAAAATGATAAATATTAATTCTTAATTATATTATAGTTCCTACTTTTTGAAATTTTCACCATCCTCGATGGTCTCAGGTAATTCGCAATTTATTGTTTCTGGTAATAAAAGACAAAGACCGGCTCCAATTAATTGTCCTAATCCAAATACGACAGGTGGTAACCAAAATTGAACTTTTCCCTGTAATAATAAACATAGTTGAAACAATGTCATATTTACATACAGTGCGCATGCGCGCGATCATGCGCAGATGTATGCACGTGAGTATACGCAGGCGCGTGCGCACGCGTATACGCAGGTTCGTACTCACGCGCATGCCTAGAAGTGTACTCATGCGCATGCTCAGATGCGTGCGCACGTATATACGCAGATGAACGCGCATGCGCAGATGAACGCGCATGTGCAGATGCTTGCGCGCGTAATATACAAAATATTAAAAATTATATTACCAGAGTAGCAATGTAAGGTGCTACTATGCTTCCTAATCTAGCACATACACTGCCAACACCAACCCCGTTATTTCTAACAACGGTAGGAAATATTTCACTGCTATATAAATATATGGTTGGAAAACTGATAGCGTTTCCAGCGATTCCTATACTTGCTAGATAAAGCGTAGCATTTGGATTGTTTATTATTACAATTAAAATTAAACTCAATGCAGTCAAAAAATTTGCTCCCATCAATATTTTTAAACGTGATACTCGTGATATCAAGCACAGAACTATAAGGGTACCTGGTAACTCAAGAGCAGCTGTAAAATAATATAATACAAATGCGTTATTATATAATATATTATATAAATTTGAATAACATTATTATTAGATAAATTTTTACCTGAGATAGTAACATTCATAAATATATTTCCATCAATGTGTCCCATATACTGTGCTAATCCAAAAAAGCAACTACCACAAAAGAACCAATTAATAAATATACAAATACTTTTAAGTCTCATATTAGGCGTTCTAAACAAATGTGTGACATTGTAATTAGTTTTATCTATTGTCCGAGATAATTTTTGACTATCGTACTCTTCTATTGCTTTATTAACATTTTCTAACGGAATCTTATTCCGTCTAGCTGCTTTTAATAAAATAATCTCAGCTTCGGCCGGTTTACCGACAGCAAGTAACCATCTAGGTGATTCTGGAATTATCCTAAATTTGTTTAAAATAATATTAATCATTTTTTTATTCAATTATTTATATATACTTTATAGATTTAATGTTATTTCAATTTACCAATAATAAGATAATAAACAAATCGCTGGTATTGAAATAGCCAATTGAAATTTGTGCCACGTATGTGTTAAATAAGATACAAGAGGAGTAGTTAAATGACCAATTATAAATGGTGCATGAAACAGGATTGATACGGCCGATCGCCATTCGATTCCTACAATTTCCATTACTGCCAAAAATATAAGAAAAAATAAATATAATAACGTTTACAATTTTTGTTATAAATTACTAACAGGAAACTTACATAAAACAAAACTAATTAACATAGTTCCACCCGTAGCTACAGCAGATAAAAATTTAAAAAATAAAAATAATTCGAACCATACAGCATAAGCGCTAATAACACCTGTTATCGATTGCAAGGCTATTGCAATCATTAATGGCTTTTTACGACCGATTCTGAAAATATCATTTTAAACGTTTAAAATATATCATTATTTTTACACTTAAAATAATTAATAATTGATATACCTATCGGCCACCGAACTGAATATAAAATTACCAAGAAGTACGCCCAACATCGTGCATGATTGTACAACATTTGCTAATTGTTCTTTATCACAAACTAAGTCCCACTAAAAAAGAAACAATATTTAAAATTCATACATATATACCTTTTCATAAAAAATGTAAAATAATAAAAAATAAAAAGTATACTATTTTAATTTAAAAAATATTGAACGAACCTCAGTTATAATACTTTCTCGAAAGATTCTTCTATCGTATCTAAATTTATTACATTTTTCCATGGTACCGTTGTTATCAACATTAACATAACATTTCATGACCATGGATTCATTAGTTGAGGATTCGGGTGATATGCAAGAAAAATTAGTCGGGGGTGCTAAAAATACAATTGAGAGTTGATGCCAAGCAACTGGGAATTTGACAAGAGAAAGTGCTATAGCAATAACAATATGCCAAGGACCCATAACACCCATTGCATCTTGAATAACATCCAATGGAATATGATCTATAAATGAATAACAAATTTGCATATTATCAAAACGGTGTTATTATGAGGTACGTGCTTAATTGGATATAAGAACAATTGTTTCTAAATCGTTCGAGTTATTACTTCGTTAAAAACGACAATATCTCTATTATACAGATTGCAATAAATATGACACTACCCTGCCGTTTTCTCAAGGTCTTTATCAAACTATATAAACCTAAACCGCAATGAAGGCAATACGATCCTAATGCGTAAATAAGTCAACCTCATACTCGACTATATATTTTACAAATTAATATTTCATTCGTGTTTTCTTATCTATTGTATTTTAAAATTGGTATACCATCAGAAAGAAATAACTATTATAATTTAATGTTAAAAGATTATTATATACAAATGTGTTATGCTATTGTGATATATGTTTTCACACATAAATGGTAATTTACATTTTAAAAATGAAATAATATATAATATAAAAATAATATATATATATATATAAATATTTTATTATCATATTTAAATTTGTATACCTTATTGAAAGAAAAATAAGAACAAACGTTGATAATTATATTTAATGAATACAAATGCTATTGCGTTTACAATTTTAAACTCATTACTGAAAAGAAAAAAAATATGTTTTAAATTAAAAATTAAAAAAAAAAAACCAAATAACGAAATAATTAACTGTTACGTAACGTATATACGTTAATTATTTCTGTATATTTAATTAACAACATATGTATTATTAATTAAATACAAAATATTATTCTGAAAATCAATTTTGAAAAATATTTACTGAATTTGTACTGATCTATGAGTTATTATTAGGATAATAAATTAAACTTATAGATAATAATTTAATGTCAAACCTACATTTGTGTCAACCTCTTTCCAACGTTATCTTAAATTATGTACTTCGAATATAGAAAAATATAGACTTATATTTTCGATAAGATATATTTATAATTATTGGAAACAAAAAAAATTATTTCATATCGTAAGATATAAAATTCGATATTAAATGAGATATAAAATGCGATATAAAATTCGATCTATAGGCAAGGTATTTCCGGAATGTAAATTGTCAAACTTTAGATATGAATTTAGAACTCTAAAATAAATAAATTATTTCTTCTAAAAGTATGCTAACAAATGCTTCCTTCAAGAAATACTTATTACTATAAATACAACTTATACAATTTATACGATATTATTAAATGAAAAATTGAAGAAAAACATTAAATAGAAGAAAATATTCTACCAGAAGTATAAACATTCAATCTATAACATGATAAAGAACTAATTGTAAATAAAAAAAATAATAATAATAAAAGAAACTATATGTTTATTACTTCATAGATCTAAAACCTGTATTTGACTTCTACATTTGACACCTGTATTAATATTTGAGAATAGGAATTGATAAAACTTATGATAATAACTAAATAGGTCGAAAAAAACAGTCTGATAAAAAGATCAAACAATATCTTAGACCAGGGGGTCAGCAACCTTTTGAAACGGAAGAGTCAAAAATTACAATTTACAAAATTTCAAAGTTTTAAAAAGAGCCACAAAATGTTGTCTAGCCAACAATAAATAGTACTCGCATCTCTCAGTAGCTGAAAGATAGAATCGGTGCCTAATTCTCATTAATCAATTCAGAACGATTTTTAAATGTTTTTTTTTTTTTTTTTTGATAAAATAAATAATATTGGCGTATGGAATTAAAGAGATGCAGCTTCATATCCAAAGAGCCGCATNATCGGTGCCTAATTCTTTACTCTTTTAACTAAAGAGCCGCAGCTTCATATCGAAAGAGCCGCATGTGGCTCGCGAGCCGCAGGTTGCCGATCCCTGTCTTAGAAGAAAGAAGAAATGAAACGAGGAAATCCAATCCTCTTGATCATTTTAATCGTAAATTTAAAAAAAGATATTTAATTAGAGGATAGAAATTAAAGAAATTAATACACGGAAAGGAAAAGATCTA